CCATATTGACAGAAAAACACAGAATTTTAGAAATCCATGAAGATTTATAAAAATAAAGAAAAACTGAAATATCACATGGTCCTAAGTATTCAGACCCTTTGCTCAGTATTTAGTAGAAGCACCTTTTTGAGCTAATACAGCCATGAGTCTTCTTGGTAAAGATGCACCAAGTTTCTTATACCTGGATTTGGGGATCCTCTGCCATTCCTCCTTACAAATCCTCTCCAGTTCTGTCAGGTTGGATGGTGAATGTTGGTGGACAGCCATTTTTAGGTCTCTCCAGCGATGCTCTATTGCAGGGCTATTCAATTCCAGGCCTCAAGGGCCAGTATCTAGCACATTTTAGTGGTTTCTCTAGTCCAACACACTTGAGCCAGTGGTTTAATTACCTGTGCAGCAGCTCATCAGGCTCTGCAGAAGCCTGTTAATCACCTGCTGGTAGAAATCAGGTGTATTGAAGCAGGGTTAAATTGACAGTGTGTAGTTTTCCTGGCGATAGGGGGCAGTACATACCTAAATTGTTGCAAGCAAGCTGTATTTTTGTGTTGGAGTAAGACCATACCAACAGATGCCCATTAGGATCAAAAAGCCCTGGGGAGTGCCAACTTCAGCAAAATAACAAGCACATCAGACTCTCTTTCATCACAGGCAACAAGTGGAGGTACATGTGTAAAACAATAACATTTAAGAACGGTGAAAGTAAATGCATTTTGCCCTCATGGACTCCCGTGGAAGGAAACATGGCATCTAATATGGTGTCACCCAGAGACTTAGACCGGCTCACATGTATTTTAGACCTGATTTTTATGGTTACATGTTATGAAGTTGCCAATATTTTTCAACAACGTGGCATCTTTTCATTCATTATCAACAACATTTTGATGGTTATTTCCAGAAATTAATGGTAAAAACTGCACATTGTCTCTTGAAAACCAAAATGTGCCAGATACTGGCCGCCTAGGCCCAGAATTGAATAGCCCAGCTCTATTTGGTTTAAGTCACTGTGACTCTTAGGGGGAGCCTGTAGAAAGGGGTCCATCCATCCATCCATCTTCAGCCGCTTATCCAGAGTCGAGTCGCAGGAGCAGCAGCCTAAGCCGAGACGCCCAGACTTCCCTCTCCCCAGTTACTTGGGCCAGCTCTTCTGGGGGAATCCCAAGGCATTTCCTGGCCAGCTGTGAGACATAGTCCCACCAGCGTGTGATTGGTCTTCAATTCAAGTCTTCCCTTGGGTCTCCTCCCAGTTGGACATATCGGAAAACCTCACCAGGGAGGTGTCCAAGGGGGCATCCTGACCAGATACCCGAGCCAGCTTGACAGCATCCCTTACCTCCGGTGTCCACCAGCGGGTTCGAGCTTGCCACCATGACAGGCACTGACAACCCTGCAGCCACAGCTCCGGTCAGCTGCCTCAAAAATCGAAGGACAGAACATGGCTCCCTCGGACTCAAAGTCCCCCACTTCCCTCGGGACGTGTTCGAAATTCTCTCAAAGGTGGAAATTTAAGCTCCTTCTGACAGGAGACTCCGCCAGACATTCCCAGCAGTCCCTCACTACACATTTGGGTCTGCCAGGTCTGACCGGCTTCCTCCCGCACCATCAAAGCCAACTCACCACCAGGTAGTGGTCAGTTGACAGACCTGCCCCTCTCTTCATCCGAATGTTTAAGACATGCGGCCGCAGATCAGATGAAATGACCACAAATTAAATCATTGAACTGCGGCCTAAGGTATCCTGGTGCCAAGAGCAGATATGTACACCTTTATGTCTGAACATGGTGTTCGTTATGGACAATCCATGACTGGCACAGAAGTCCAGAAACAAAACACTGCTCCGATTCAGATCAGGGGGGCATTCCTCCCAACTACACTTCTCCAGGTCTCACTGCCGTTGCCCACAGGAGCATTAAACATTTTATTTATTTAATTTTTCAAAATGCAGCTTGCTTGAACAGCTTTTTCGAAGAACACAAACGGCACCTTTAACCTTATAGGCCTGATGATTTTATAAGAAAAAGCAGCATTAAAGTTACTGCTTTAGAATGGGCAGTGCTTTCTAAAGATACAAGTCAACTCAGTTGATCTACATAAGTGAAGTCCAATCACTTATATAAAAATGGCTCAACAGAAATATTTATGTTACTTCTTTTAATTAAAGGTAATGGAAAAATTATATATTTCAGTGTGGAGGTAGCTCAGGAGGTAAATATGTCATTATTTAATTATTCCGACCAAATATTCCAAGTTAAATTTTCCAAGTTGATTTCGGTAGTTAATTGTCACTAATGGGCATGATGGTCACTGTGAAGATAAAATGTAGGCTACGGAAAAATTTGATGTAGCTCAAATCCTTTAAGTTCCCGTTAACTCCTGAAACAGCTGGTTTTCCTCAAGGTTTTGTCCTCAGCCTCTTCTTTTTATCGGCAGTCTCCTCTCACTTGGTCAAACTGTTGTTAAGTTCAGTATTAATGGCCACTGCTACACAGATGACACCAAGCTCTACATTGCCATCAAAGCTACCTCCTTTTCCTTGACCCCTACTTTGCAATCCTGATTGTCGTAACGATTTAAACTCTCATTTTTCTAACAATTTCCTTATAATAAAAATAAAAACAGAGATTCTTCTCATTTTAACAAAAGTTGACATTTTTCTCACCAAATTAACAAATCCTGTTATTGTTTTTCTTTCCTAGTATCATTCAGGCTGCAAACTTCAAATTACGTAACACTCCATCTTTTCCTTACAACTAAAAGTGTGACAATTCTTGGCTTGTTTTTGTTGGTTGAAAGACAACAATGACTGTCTTGAAAGCAAATTCTAAAAGAAAAATGCATATTTTTTTTAAATTTATATTATTAAAAATTATGGCAATGTTGTCTGGATGAAAAAAATGAGAACATATTTCCCACATCCTGGTTTCCCTGCAGTGGCGAGGATCAATGTAAAGGTTTTAGTGCACGTATAATGAATGCACTTGCAGGGAATGCCCCTGCATATATTTCAGACCTACTTTCAAAGCATGCTCCACCCAGATGCCTATGCTCAGCTGATCAAAGTCTCTTGGTGGCACCAAAGACTAACACCAAGGGTGACTGTGCAATTCTTTGATTTTTTGACCAAGTTTTGAACCAATTCTCACATGAAATCAAACAGACTGCCCTTTTTCAGATCTTCAAACCCAAAAGGATTTTTCACCTTTTCCCAGCATCTCCTTAATTAATTGATCTTTGTTTTAATGGTACTTTTTGTTTTAAATGAGTTATTAATCCTGTTGCATGTGTTGCTTTTAATAGATTTGTGCTTGTTCTATTCTCTATTTTACCTTTTTTTTGTGCTCCGTGCTTTTTAATGAGCAGCACTTAGGGTCTTGTATAGCATCAAAGTGCTTTAGAAGTGAATGAATACATTTCTAAATGAAATAAATAGATGAAGCTCATTGGATGAGAAAAAAGCGTGTCTTTGAGCTTACTATGCTATTGTGTGTTAAGGGCCTTCCCCCTTTTTTGTTTTCTTTTAGCTAGAATAGTGGTTGTGATTCTTTTCAAACACAATTTAAAATAATAGAGAATAGGGTAAGAGTAAAATTGTCCAGAAAAAATTTCTAACATGATTGACAACTGAAATGTGACAAAGTTAGACTTGTCTAATGCAAAAAAAAATAGCTACAAATGAATATATTCATGATTTCAAGTCACCCTGTGCAAGATTACCTAAAAATGAACTCATTTGGGTCATTTGGACTCATTAATCTCGCTGTTTAAACTCTTTAGATAGAAGCTGAAGCAAAACCACTAGTGAAATAAATAACGTTTGATTTATAAGAGAAAAAGGAGATCCTTAGAATATAAAATTATGATTATTCTTTTACGTCAGCCAGTGCTGACCATGTTTCAGAAGTGGAAACTGCCTACAGTCACATGAGTGAAGCTTTGCTGCTGGGGCATTCTTTTAAAAGACGCATCAGTGCTCTTTCAAAAACTTCAAAACCAGCATGAGCAAGTTCTGCTGAATCTGGGATTGTTTTTTTATTTCACATTTTATCTAGTAGTGTATTAATTCAGAAAGAAAATCCTATATTTTTGGTTAAGATAAAACCTGATGATTTTATATATACATGATCTTAACTCAAAATATGAAATAATAATAATTATGCATTAACTCTTTTTTGAAGAATCAGGGTTCTTCTGATGGATCTAAAGCCAGTACACTTTAAAAAACAATAAGAAACGTTCTTGCCCAAAAAAAACTCTTCATAAGGAGTCAACATGAATTTTGCAGAAGTATCTTTTAAGCATCCTTCTCTAAAGTCTTGCTAGCATACATATAAACAATAACCCACGATGACTGTTCTGTGCCCTCTCTAGTCCAGGAAGTTAAAGAGAAAACCTTTAATGTTGGGTGATTTTTTTAAAAGAGGTATTTAAATACCCTAGATTGAAAATCACTGAGGCTTTGGTTTGTCAAAATAATGAAGGTTTTACCAATTTATCACCAGTTTCCATGGAGAATTGGACACTGGTGGACTCAAAACTTGTGCTCAAGTGTTCAGGGATGGAAACCAGGAAATATAGCTACAAAAATGACAAAATCAAAAAGTTTAAGCATTTAAAAATGAAGACAAACAAACCTCTCAGAAAAATACCTATTGATGCTTTACTTTGATTTTTACATAACTTCGCTTTCAGACAGAAGCGTTTAGCAGAAATTAAATGACTAAAAATGTTTGATGTTGGCTTCAATACACTTGTAAACAGGTTTTGTTTCATTCTGCAATTCACATGGTTGAACTTTTGGTGTTTTCGTCCAATTTTCAGACTTCCTCAGCCATCCTTTACCCCCTAGCAGCTGCCTTCAGCTTGACTTTTAGAGGAACAATCTTTTGCATGACTAGATCACACTACCTTCCTTCTCTGTAGTATAAAGCTATGTGAGGGTATCACGCGGGAGTCAGAAAATCCTGGTAGTCATGCGCTAATCCGGTATTTAAGGTCAAAGCTCCAGTGGTTCGAAAGGAAACGGGGGCAGCGATGGGCGCATGAGGAGAGAGAGAGAGGGGGCTTCAGTGTGTGTGAAAGTGATGCGAGTTTATTCGGGGTGATAAAAGTATTTATTTTGTAAAGTCTGAGATTTCAGGTGCAGTTCGGTTAAGGGGACTGGGAATCACCCGTGCGTAAAGATACATTTGGCACCTGTGTTGGATCATCATGTGGCGGTGCTGGCTTATGGTGCTGGTGGGCGCTGCGGGTGTGAGCGCACAGTTCCCCAGAGAGTGTGTGACACCTGAGGGGCTCAGGAGTGGACAGTGCTGCCCTTCGTCCCCCGGGTTTCCTAACGACCCGTGTGGTTCCAGCGCGGGGCGCGGACAATGCGTTTCCATCGCGACGGACGCGCGCCCTCACGGGCCCCAATACCCGCACGACGGGCGTGACGATCGGGAGCGGTGGCCCATCCGTTTTTTCAACCGCACCTGCCAATGTAACGGGAACTTCAGTGGCTTTAGCTGCGGCCGCTGCAAACACGGGTGGGCCGGTGCCAACTGCGACCAGCGGATTCCTGTGGGTAAGTGCGTGCGCTCTGCAACGTTTCCATGAGAAAAAAAAAAACATTTAAAGCTCGTGCTTTTGTTAAGATTTGACCCAATCGACTCATTTTCTCAGTGAGGAGAAACGTGATGCAGCTCAGTGCAGCGGAAAAGCGCGCGTTCGTGGACGCGCTGGACCGCGCCAAGCGCACGGTGCACCCAGACTTGGTGATAGCCACGCGCCACTACTCGGACATCTTCGGGCCCGACGGAAACACCACGCAGTTCCAAGACATCACCATCTACAACTACTTCGTGTGGTCCCACTATTACTCTGTCAGCAAAACGTTCCTCGGCCCGGGGCAGGCCAGCTTCGGGGGGGTGGACTTCTCACACGAGGGCCCCGGCTTCGTCACCTGGCACAGGTATCACCTGCTGCAGTTGGAGCGGGACATGCAGGTGAGATTGTACATATAGACTCGGGTTTGTTTCATCTCAGCGTCTCCCAAGGCAAGGACATTATATTTTAATGACACGCCTTAATAAGCGAGCAGCAATATGTGGCTTTAAGCGTTTTTATGAGCTGACGTTCGATTTGGTCTGCATCCATTAAGTAGGCCTACATTGGGTAATTCTGATAACCCCCCTGCAGTAGTAGATCCATCCACTGGGTTACAATTGGGGTCAGAGTGTTGAACTCCTTATCCTGTGCAGATTGATGCTTGAGCCCCCTATTAGGGGCCTTTGTTGAAACTTGGCAGACAGACATTGTTTGAAGGAAAGCTCTTAAAAATGTCAAATCAGGATAAATGAAAGGCTCTCCTGTGAAAAGACCTGAGTTTCTGAAATGTGGGTGGATTAGAATGTATAATGTTTTGCTTTGGGAACTTTGGGGGGTATTAAATAGCCAATAGGCAACACAGTAAAGCGCATGTGCCAGACACAAGGCCCGCAGGCCAGATGTGGCCCGCCACATCATTTTAAGTGGCCCGAGAGAGATTCAAGTGTCTTAAATAAGTCTATGCTGCTTCAAGGCTCACATTGGCTATAAACTACATTTTCCACAATGCATGGCGATTGTGTTCCCAGTGCAGTGACTCGCCACTAGGTCGCAGTGTATCCACTTCTGTGTTTAATTAATGCAACAAGTGAAAATAACTGCCCACACATTATCCCAACATGTCCAGGAAGAGAAAGATTGATGCAGAAGGAAGGGGGTTTCAACAAAGATGGAACATGTTGATGCTTCAAGCAGAAAAACCGGTATATTCACAACCATTAGCGTCCATGCTACTAGCATCAGCGTCTGCAGCGTTACCTCCTCTGCCTCGGACAAACTGAAAACACTCCTCTTACTCAGCGCCGAGTTTACTCAGCAATTAGCCAACTTTGAAGCCCAGAAATGGATTTTAACAGCTCAGTAATCTGTTTGCTGCTGACATAGAAAGCACATCGACCAAATTCCAGACCCATGATTTAACTCCAGTTTAGTGACATGCTCAAATCACGACTCTGTGCCTGCTGTGGCTTTTATCCTCCTCCCTGACGCAACTGCGTGGTCCAGATGCTCTCCATGTCCAGCAGCACAAACCTGTGTGAGCAATAGTGATGTGTCGTTCGCAAACGAACCGGCTCTAAGAGCCGGCTCTTTGAAGTGAACGACGGGAGCCAGATCCTCATTGGGAGCCGTCCCTTCCCCCCTCCCCTCTTGCTTTGGTGAAAGCTAATGGCGATTGGTCAACACGTGTAATCGCGTGTCCAGACTGTCTACACACAGAGCAGTAGGGGTGGGGAAGAGGGAGGATCAGACTCAGACACACAGCAGAGCACATGCGGGTGGAGGGAGACGAGCGGGAATGAGGAGGAGGAAAAAGGCGAGCGAGAAAGTGGAGAGTGCAACGAAGACGGTGAGAAAATGAGCTCCAGCAGTCGGAAAGTGGAGATTTCTTAAAGTGTTCAGTTATTAAATCCATAGAAATGAGAAATATTTGATATATTGCAATTTTTTACATTAGTAAATCATTTTACATATAGTTTTGCATTATTTTGGTTATAAATGTACTCTACGCAACAGAAAATCTGAGGAGCAACTTGGGAGCCGAAAGAGCCGGCTCTTTTTGGTGAGCTGAGCCAAAAGAACCGGCTCGCTAAAAAAAGCCGGAATTCCCATCACTAGTGAGCAACTTGTTTCTCACTGAACTCCTTCCTCAGCTCAGAGCCCAACCCCACAGATGCAGGTCTGGCTGGAACAGGTGAGCGTCACAGGAAATCAGAGTGGAGAAAACTGGAATTGAATTATTTTGCTTTTATTAAACTTTTCTGCTCCAAAGCATGAAAGTTAATAGGTGAGATATTGCATTGTCATTTAGGAGAATTACTATTTTTCATTTATATTGTTGGCCTGTGACAAAAGATGTCACCTAAGGTAGAAGAATAGAATAGAAATAAAATAGAAAATCCCTTCATTGCCCCTCAGTGGGGAAAGCTTGGTGTCACTGCAGCAATAACATTCATTACAGGAGCAACAAAAGAGAGTTAAAAAATAAACAAGAAAACATAAAATAGAAACACTTAAAACATTCAAAAGATAAAAATAAGAAATGCTGAATATACAGATTTTAAGGAATAAAATGTTTTAAAAAACTGAGACATGAGTAACGAATACCAGTGATGTGTGTTTATTTAAAATGGAGTTGCTTGTGTGTCATTTGGTTATTCCACATTTAGTGTTACTGCAAAATGAAGTTTGTTTCCAAATGAAAAGGTTCAACCATTCATATCTGTAGATAAAGGAAACTGTGCACGTTTACCGTCACTTTTTAACAAATAATGAGTGTGGCCCGTGACTTTGTCACAGTTTTTCATTTTGGCCCAACGTGAATATGAGTTTGACACCCCCTGCAATAAAGTAAAACTGTATTTTTCTATTTACAGGACATGCTGCAAGACCCCTCCTTCGCCCTGCCCTATTGGAACTTTGCCATCGGTGGAAACACCTGTGACATCTGCACAGATGACCTGATGGGAGCCAGGAGCAGTTTTGACATGAATTCCCTGAGCGCCAACTCCATTTTCTCGCAGTGGAGGGTCGTCTGTGAAAGTGTAGAGGACTACGACACGCTAGGGACCATTTGCAACAGTAAGACGTCATAGAACTGTTTCTAGTTTTATTTCATTCTTTAAAGTGACACTAAAGTAGTTTAGCACCTGAAACTAACTGGTTTCAGTGGTAAACTTGAGCAGGTTCACATGGGACAGCACTCTAGAGCCCTCTGCTGGCCAGACACTGCACTAAACTTAAGTGGCTCGGGTACGCACTAGTGGACGGTGACTGCTTTATGGCCTTATTCTGCCGGTAGCTTATATAAAGGCTAGCAGTTAGCTTTTCAGTCTGCTGACCTCCATTAACAAGTGCAAGAAGAAAAATAAGATGTTTACGTTCTTTTTTGACATCACAGCAAAGAGCTAAAACCAGAGGGAACGTCGGTGCAGCCTACACTCGTTGGGTTCAGTCTCAAACCGTTTAAAAAGTAGTTGAGTCCTCGTTTTTTCCTTTGCTTCTGAGCTGACAATTGTCGTTCATAATTGTAAAAACATGCAAAATACAACACCTTGACTGCTGACATCGTTATCTGCAAAACTAGAGACAGGGTTTACGGCATTTGTAATTAGTAGGGAGAGAAGTGGGAAACTTATTTTTATTTTAAGTTTATGGGAATTTTTTTCTGTTTTTCTGTCTCTCAGGTACAGAAACGTCTCCCATCAGAAGAAACCCAGCAGGAAATGTGAACAGACCCATGGTCCAGCGTCTCCCAGAACCCCAGGATGTTGCAGACTGTTTAAAAGTCAACACCTTTGACACACCACCCTTCTACTCCACCTCCTCTGAAAGCTTCAGGAACACCATCGAAGGCTAGTTAGACTTGACTTTCACACATGGTCTTCTTTCCATTAACAATCCATATAACAGCACATTCCTGACCAGTGTCTTGGGAAGCTGATGCCTGTCTCCAAGAGTCACTGGACTAGAAGCAAAGTCATCCATTCATCTAATGTGTTCATCTTGTTTTGGCAGGTTATAGCGCCCCCAAGGGGAACTACGACCCCATCGTGAGGAGCCTTCACAACCTGGCTCATTTGTTTCTGAATGGAACCGGAGGTCAGACTCACCTTTCCCCCAATGACCCAATCTTTGTCCTCCTCCATACCTACACCGACGCCATATTTGACGAATGGTTGAGACGACATGGTCCAGGTCATTTAGCTAATAAATACAGTCATGATCAGATGTTAAGCAAATAGAAAATGTAACTTTTAAACTCATTTTAAGTATTATCTGACAGATTCAGCTGCATATCCTGAGGAAAATGCCCCAATTGGTCATAACAGGGGCTACAACATGGTACCCTTCTGGCCACCTGTGACCAATTCCGAGATGTTTGTGACTGCACCTGAAAATCTTGGCTACTCATATGAAGCCCAGTGGCCAGGTTTTAATTTTGACTTTATATTTAGACTTGTCTTTGTGAAGCATGAGGTGATGAAAATAATAAAATATTGGTTTTATTTTTACCTCTGTCCTTACAGATCAACCTTTTACTTTGACTGAAGTCATAACCATGTCAATAGTTGCCGCCCTTGTGATCGTGGCAATCGTTTTCGCTGCCACTACGTGCTTCGTCCGTGGCAGGTCCAAGATGGAGGGCCACCAGCCTCTGCTCGGGGATCAGTACCAGCGTTACGATGATGACAAAAGCCAGTCAGTGGTCTAACAAGGCTGCTCCCACACAACCTCCACTTATGTGCCTGAACTTACACAGGAATTCAACTGTTATTCTAACAGAAGTCATTTTGAAGAATAAACATCTCTAAAGTTAACACTGTTTCACAGATGGTGCAGTTGTTTATTTTCATGTTTTCTTTAAAATTCCTAATAACAAAATATTTTGAAATGGAAACTGTAATTCTTTGCCCCATGCAATAATCTATGCAAAATAAATGTTTTATAGACTTACAAATGATTAATTTCTACCCATTAAAAAAGGCATCTACTGTTAAAGCCGTAACCTTTTCCATCTTGCCCACCAGGGGGAGACATAGTTTAATATCTGATGCTGATTGTACAGCAGTTACCAAGTTTCTTTTTTTATAGCTCAATTAGACGCATTAAAACATGTGTCACGAAATAAGAAAAAAAAAGCCCAATTACTGATGCAAAAGAAAATATTCTAATGTATCCGAGTTTTCTTTTTAATTAATGTTTTTATTTCCTGCGTGTAATAATGCTGTTGAACCTGGGTGCGTATAAAACAGGTGCTTCACCTCTACGTTTTCTTTTTGTTTCACTCATGAATGTGTACAACATAAACTAACATTGTAGTAATACACAAATAAATGTCCTTTAAATGCCAGTAACACCTTCACCGTTTGGTCTGAAATTGTATTTAATGAGCCAGTTGTAGTTTATTTGTTGACGATCCACCTGCGTGGTGTCCGGTTTCAAAAGGAGGCTCTTATGGGAGGCTCCTCCATGTTTAAACCGTTTAAACTGTCCTACTACTGGTCAGGAGCCTGAATGGGGAGGTTCTGAGTCGGCGCGAGCTGCTTCGGTCTGCGCGAGACCCCATTTAAATGAGCGCGTGCTTCCTGCTCGTACACAGAGCTCGCGCGCGCATCCCCGATAGAGGTTTTCCAACCTAGCTGCTTGACCGGTTTCCTGACAGCTCACGGCTCACGATGGAGCAGAACAACAACTTCTCGCCTGAACTTAAAGACTTGGAGACGAAGCTGGGGCGGAAAGTTCCGGACGGTCTCGTTCGGTCTCTCGCGGGAGGAAAACGCAACGACAAGCACGAGAAGTCGTGTCACCTAGCAACCTGTAAATTTTGTACAAATTCCTCGGATTTTAAAAGACTGCAGAGTAAAATGTTGTTCCTGAGACAAGAAATGGTAAGAAAAGTGATTTCATTTAGATGTTTGCTCACCAAACCTGCCGCATAATGGTTACAAGTTTAATAAACAATGTTTTAATGCTCATAATTATTAAAACTATCAGATTTATTTTGTTTTTGGCTTGAATCTAAAGGGTATATGTGGTGATGGGTCATAACTTCCTAATCTTTTGTCAAATTACAGTAAAATAATGTGAAAATGTCTGACTCTTTACTAAAAACAACTTTTCTTATATTTATATTTAAATTCCTGAGCCAAACTAATTTAAAGTCCTCATAGCTGGTCTTAAATAACTCAAAAGCCTGTCACAAAAACACTGTAGGCTACACGATCCCATTGAAAGGGTTATAACAAATGCTTGAAACCCTTAATAATCTTGATTTAATGTAGTAACTGTTGTAATAAAGTGTTGTAACATATTTACTGTGAGCTTATATGTATACTGTTAGTGTATGTGTAAGTCTGCACGAGGAAAAATAGAAAAAAGCTTTTAGAATCCTTCATATCTTCAGATTGTTTAACAATAATAACAATACCCCCAAAATACCAGTTTAACACCTAAAATAACATTTTGGCCAAACCTAAATCATCCTCAGAGTAAGCTATAAACCAGACTGTGGTTCTAAAAGTCGGGGTCTTTACCCCTTTTTGGAGCCTAGGGCTCCTGAGGTGATTCCTAATTATCCTCTTAATTGCAAAGGTATCGCTAGTTGTACATTTTTACTATACTTGTTACAAACTATTAAAACATTTGTAGTGAATGGATACGAATTTGTATTTTTGTCGCTGAGGCTAACTGTCGTATATGAGCAATAGCTGGCTACGTAAGTCTCTGGCAGGGTTATTTTAGAGATCAGAAGCTGGAAAGTTTGAGAACCACAGCAGTGGTCACCTGAAAGATCTCTCTCTCTCTCTCTCTCTCTCTCTCTCTCTCTCTCTCTCTCTCTCTCTCTCTCTCTCTCTCTCTCTCTCTCTCTCTCTCTCTCTCTCTCCTCTCTCTCCTCTCTCTCTCTCTCTCTCTCTCTCTCTCTCTCTCTCTCTCTCTCTCTCTCTCTCTCTCTCTATCTCTCTCTCTCTCTCTCTCTCTCTCTCTCTCTCTCTCTCTCTCTCTCTCTCTCTCTCTCTCTCTCTCTCTCTCTCTCTCTCTCTCTCTCTCTCTCTCTCTCTCTCTCTCTCTATCCATCTATCTATCTATCTATCTTGCATGTGCTGTCATGGCCTGTGCTGTCATGGCCACTTACAAGAAACAGGAATAGGCATCAAAAACAGTCCAAAGAAACCCTGAAGAACTTTTGGCCTCAAGTTTAAAAGATTATTAAAAAAAAAGTCCAGTCCGCTGAATACAAACTCCAAAAGTTGGGAGTATTTTGCCTACTACTGAACAAATAAGTATTTATACATTTATGTGCATGCTTACTTCACTTATCATTCATGATGAACTAATTTCCCATGAATTCTACAAGATTATTCTATCTGTGCAACTGTTTACTATTTAGCGGTTGTGATGAATGTTATCTTTAATAACCACAGTGTACCCAATAAACCTGAGAGTTGTTCACACGTCCTCCCGAACCCTTTCCCAGCCCCTGCAGTAATCATCTTAAAAGATGGTTTTATCTACTTTTGGGGACCGTGCACAGTTGAACCAAAGCTGTTAGCAGAATCGGGCCACAGCACACCGCTGTTTGGAATCTGTGAGGTCAGGAGAGGTAATTAGGATTCCTGAACAGATGGTCAGGTTAGCCGAGTTCTACAGTCTGAGTGCAGCTGGAGGCCTTGTGTTTGTACGGTTTGGTTAATTTCACTTGAAACATGTTCATTTAAAACGAAAAAAACATTGTTGTAATTTGCTCCTGATTTAACTTCATTAAAGTAAATTATAAAATGTTATTTATAAGAAAGCTACATAATCAAGAAGCACACATTGACCATCCCAACCCTTGCATTGCCGTTCGTGGCTCACTCCTCCCTAATTGCTAAACCAGACTGCTCCGTTTTCTTTGGGCACACATCTGTAAAAGCATTCATTTCTTGTTGGGGCACCACCTTTTTTGCCTTTTATTCAAGTTTAGACCCTGTACTCAAAGTTGATTAGCTTCAAAAGGGCCGTAGCAACATGATTAGATTAGCTTGTTTAATTTCGATACCACTAGTTAAGCATGGCCTGATAAACGAAACGTATTTTGACCGTGTCTGCTTGTTTTTATGGTTTTGAAGGAAGCGATTGGTTATTCTCATAAAACCAAAAACACCAGCATCCAAAAGAAAAAAGCTGACTTCAGATCAACCCCTGAGAATGGTTGTAGTGTCAACCCAGCTGTTTCAATCCATCATGGCAGCAACAGGATGTTACAGCTGCCCATTTGCCCGTTTTTCACTCGCTTGTCACCCAAAGACGAAGAGCATCCCTCTGAAAGACTCCACTTCCGCCCACACCCGGCAGCGGGGTTCATCGTGGCAGAGAATTTAATCAAAGGCTGCTCTGTGTAAAGCAGCCGTATCATTCATTATCATGGACAAATATGCGTCTCCTGGCTGAGCAGTCGGTGCCACGTTGTTAATGTGACATCACAAAGACCAACGGTCTGAACAGCTGAAAGGACCGAGTGTTTTCTGGCCTTGAGACAGCACAAGAATGCTAACAGTTCTTGGTAAAACAATCAGAACACATCATAACTGCGCATTCCAAGTCTAAACTGAGATTATGTTATTATTTCCCATTTAAGCATGGTGTGTTCCATCCGTTTAAACGCTAGTTTGGGCTTTCTCATAGGAAGTTTGATAAAAGGACTGCTTTGGCTCTTAACCCTAACCTTAAGGCTTAATGCTGAAGTACAAAACTCTCCTAAAACCAAGAGTCTTTTATTTAGGATCTCTAAAACTTTCCAACAATCGCAGAGCCTTGTGACTGTAATTAAAAGGCCAAATAAACATGGTTATAATGATAAATCACATGTCTCAATAACCTTTATTTGTCTTAACAATTCTGGCATACAATAGATAATTTGATATTTATTTTCAAAATCCTTTATTTTTATAAAGTATGACCTCTCAGATGGTGTTTCCTTATCCAAATATTCTAAAACGATGTCAAATAAAAATATGTAATTGGTCCTAGAAGTGTAGTTTAACAGATTACTTTTAGACATTTGCTACAAAGTAGCTCCAGTCAAAAAGACACTCATTCAATGAATGATAAAATATTGATCTGCAAAATCTTCTCACCAGTTCTCACAGCACAGTTAGAGTAATGTCGCAGGCAGGCTTGCTTTTCCCTGCACAACACCTGAGAGCTGCGTATGTAAAATAGTGATGAGAAAGAAACTCGTACCGCAGCTCCAGGAGACTTTTTTTTTTTTGTGTTCATGAAACGTTGGATATTGATGTAGTGAAATTTGTTGAAATTAAAGGGCCTGTATCTTGCTATTTTACACATTCCAGAGCAGCGGTAGGCAAAAATATATGGTAAAATATTACCATTGGCACTGTTTTTTATGAAATCCGAGTTATTTTTGTGAGCCATTGAATTTTTTTTAATTTGTTTTTTAATCTTTTAGGCCAACCTGCGAGCCATCGACGTGAAGCTAATGCAGCAGCTCATGACAATCAACGAGGGCATCGAGTCCATCCGCTGGATGATAGAAGATAAAGGAGATGTCGCCAGTCAGGACGGCAGCCTGACGGGAAGCTTGTACAGCCTGTCGGACAGTCAGGACGGCTCCTCGCCACGAGGCAGCTTCAACAGTCTGAATGATGGGAACGACGACGGACTGGACGGGCTGTCTGTGGGTAGTTACCTGGACACGCTAGCAGAAGACCTCCCAGATGACCCCTCGCCCACGGACCTTGACTCTTTTATGGATAAAAGTGTGATAGACGGCGACGCTTTCACAAAATCGCCTCTGAAACTCGGGGTGGAATCAGAGGAATACTACTGTTTTAGATAACAACCATAAGCTAAAGACCACTGGGACTAAATATCAGAAGCTATGCCTGGTTATGTTTTACTCCTGCGTATAAGTTTAGAATATGCAGCTTGCGTCCAAAATACAAGATAAAACACCTCAGGAATGATTTATTTAATGGTTTTCTATTTGTAGCCTAAAAGTGAAGAAGACACGAAGAACAATCATTTACCATTTCTGGAAAACTTGAGTGCGTTAGGATTTAGCAGCCATTTGGACAACTGGAGATGGACTTGAGTGGCTTCATGTGATCAGTTTAAGTGCAATTAGCATCCATGCCAATCTGTGAGCAGCACCTACTGAAAACATTAGTCTTATTTTGTACTGAGTGTCATTTAAATCCATACCAGTAGAGTTTACAGGGTGTAGCTGGCAGATGCTTGACTGAAAACCAAATAACTTTGATTGTCTTAGAGATCATTTGTGCCTGAGGCTTAACTGTCTTTAACACCAGATGGGAGATTTGTTGATGGCGGGCATATGTGAGACACGTGCCTGCTGTGAGGGCACATTTTTAATCTTCTGCTGTCTGAAAAAGAAAAACAAACCATTACAATGCTGTATAGAAATGTGCTATAGCTTTCAATTCTTTCTAATGATTTTTTTTATTTTTTTATGACGCCTGCTTTTGAAAAAAGCATTATTGGTTGCTATTGACTTTGTTGTGGAAATAAAGATAATATATTGCTCACCTGTGCTTTACTATATGATAAAAATGTCAGAATTTTGATGTATGTGTCAGTGCTTTAAAATAAATATTGCTGTCAAGTGTTAATGAGGTGGTAAAACCTAACATTCTGACTTTCTTTTCACTTTTTGCCACTTTGTGGGTCGCTGCATAAGAATTACTTGCATTTAAGCAATTTCAAAAATTGTCTTTTGTAGAGAACATATTTTAGAGTTTTGTTTTTAGTGTGTAAATAAACAAAAATGCTTTCTTGAATCTTATAATAGCTAAATAAAAAATTATGTCTTCAGATGGCTCATTGAATGACCTTAGGCTGGAAAAATGGTGTTGATCTAATTAAGCTAAGGGTAAATCACAAAGGGGACAAGACCAAAGTGGATTACATTCAAATGGATTTTGGAATTTCATAGCTTTTCAATTCATATCATATAAATTTTTACATGGAAATCCATGGTGATTAGCAGGGACACATAGCAACAACTAGCAGTAATGCTTCCTGCAGGAAAATTATATTACCGCTAGACTATGTAAGATGCAAATTACAAATTTTAAATATATACAATATTTATGATGGCAGTAATCCACTTGAACTAGCTGGTAGCTCATCAATGATCAATATCAGGTACAACAGTAAATATATAGACTGCCTAAACTAAAATTAGGGAAACCGCCTTCATCTCAACAATTGTCCGATGTCCGGAACAAGGGCTGAAAAAAGACAGAAGAGGAGTGGAAATGCCAAAAGAGCATTTTACCATGTTTCATGTTTTAATTATTATTTTTTTCATTTGTGATTCGTGTCATTTGCTTCTTATGTGACAATTTGGGTTCCAGACGGGATACTCTGGGAAAGTCATTATACGAAAGATGAGAACCGTAGCCTCCTGGCTTGAAAATGAATTAGAGGCCATTGGTACCGCAATGTTTCTTACGCTGCCATCCGACATCCGGAAAGACTCTTGTTGGAGAAAAGCTTCTATTTTAGGTCTCTCTTTAGTAATATACATATATATTTATATTTTCCATAGAGCTGCCTCCTGTTAGTAGTTCTTGTAATTTGGAACATAGTAATCAAGAAGTCACGGGTGAAGGATTGTTATGCCGTCATCCTCAAATGATACAAAGGCTTGCAGTGTTCCAAGCAGATATCATCTCTTTACCCAGACAAGTTAAGCATATTTGTTACTTCGTCTCACTCCACAAGCAAAGCTGCTTTATTTGGTTTTACACTTCTTTTGCTTATCTCTGCCTCCCAGAGGCTTTAGAGCCTGCTTATGAGCGCTCAGCCAGCCTGAACCGAACCACGAAAACCAAAAAGCCTTGTGAATGGCAGCATGACCTCCTTGTAAACACTTCATTTAAAAACACACACACCCAAAAATCTCTGAGCTTGTCCAAATGCCATATCCAAACAAATGTATCTGCACAATGAGAAGAACTGCTCAGATGAAGGAGCTGAAGCTGGAGCTAGTGGCCTTGAATTAATTGGACACACAGAACAGGTTCTGTGGGTTAATGTTGTTAGAAGACTTGAGTTTAAATTCCTGTGTACTGCATGTTACACTACACATGAACAGAAGAGTCATTTGGCTCTTTCACTGGCTCTAGAAGTGTACCTTTCCTACATAAAAAAAGAAAAAGAAACTATTTATGAATGTTTTATTTGAAAAATATTTGTTGTTTTTGACTTCTCATGATTAGAAACAGTACTTTCCAAAGGTTTGATTCCTACCAGAATCTGGGCAATGACTCCTATTTTTTTTAGACCAGAACATGTACCTGTCTATTCTCAACTGGATGGTTTTTGTCATGTAAACCACTTAACTCTGACCTGTTTGTTCAAGCATAAAAATATTACATCAGTCATGAGTTTACCTGTTCATTCTGTTGACACATAATAAAAAACTTAGGAATGAGAGTTTTGGATTAGATCTGTTGTAACTTTGTGACTAACAAACCAAAACGGTTGTATTTATATTGATAAATGTTTTGTTTTTTTAATACCAGAGACACGTTTCAGTTTACTCTTAAAGCTGTTATAACAAATCTGCAAACCAGCTAGGTTTAGAACGTAAACACGGTCACGGAACACTCACCCCTCCCCTCGGGTTTCTTCCCTGAGATGCTTTACGGGAAACCCACAATGCCGGACAAAATGAAATGATGCTAAACACCTGTTGCTGTTTTCTAGGTCCAAACATCTTTTGTTGTCCATGACTTCAAATAGTGTTTTTCCTTTTATAACTCTGGTAGTTTGTCCTAAAGTTGAAGAGGTAGCAGCTGGCTATTTCTCCTTCTCCGACATTATTGAGCAGAGAACCTTTTACACCAGTGGCTTTCTGTGGTTAAATATGTGAGTGTGTATTGAGTGGAGGACCCAGGTAAATGTGGAAGTGCAGCGTTTTGGTGGACCGACAACCACATGGTCCAATAGATGCTTTCGGTCCTAAAAGTGTTATTGGCAGAGGGGTTTAGACAAATGCAAGAGAACCACTTTATTAATTTCTTGGGTTTTTTAAACTCCACATATTTATAGCTGTATTCTATATTAGAATGTTGTTAGATGGCATTGAAAAAAAATTAAGCTAATTTGTTTTCCAAATTAGCAGCTTTAATCAGAGGAATAAGAATATTTTAACCTAATGAGCTTAAAGAGTAGGAATAATAAAGATGTGACACAATGACCTAAGAGATTCATCATCTCTTAGTTTATGCCGGATTAGAAATTTGATAATCATCTTGTTAGAGCAAGAATGCTCTTGTTGAACTGTGTTTTAGGATAAACTTTCTGAATGCAGTTGCAGAAATGAGATCAAATTACTTACGTTTTCAACAGATCGCTTACTTGAACTGCCTCTTGCTAAATTTATGTGTGGAAACAATATTAGTTCATTTGGTGCTTTATTGGTTGGCAAAGTTTTAGAACAAGGTTGAATTAAAATTCTCAGGAATGCAGCTTTCTGAATTCTGGATAAAAACTTTTCTGCAACATAAAACTCTACTAACACATGGATGGTCTTTACTGGGATGTTTTTAAGGTCATAAAACCAGAGTTGGGCTATCCATTGTGTGAACAGTAGATGGTTTTGGCATGCACAACACATCCGTAGCAATGGTCTTATGGTTTTTTATTGGGATAACAGAGTGTCCTTGTGCCTGTAGACATCAGATTTGTAGTAGAGCTGATCTCTTTAGACCCATTACTAGTCCGCACCAACATGGTGGCATGATCTCCTAGCATGTTGCTTCACCCTAAGGTCCAATAGAGTTGAGCCAGAACAGGGCTGTAGCGCCATTAGGGGAATCTGTGATAGAGTATGGGCTAGGTTGCACATGAGCTCCAAAGATCATGCATGCACACCTTTGGCAAAATGTACCTTTGCACACCAGTGTTACATTGGTATGAGTTCTACCATCAATGGGTTTAATCTACTGTTCTGCATTGCCGAAGTGGTAAAGCGTTTGTGTTCATTACAAACTCGCCACAGTAGAACTTCCACCTGCACAGGAGCTCAAACATGATGTTTTACTAAAATGTTCTAGCTGCCAACGCTCCAACATATTTATGTACTACTCATGGTTTAAGTTGTTGAAGTTGTGTGCCTCCCTGGCTATGGGAATGTACCACTGATGTAGGGGGAGCGTCAAGGAATCCAGCGTCCAAGGACTAAACTTCAGACAATGTTATCAATGTCCAAAATGTTGATACAAACTATCATTATGAAAATCTTTTTCCTGTACATTTTTTTATGGAAAACAAAGTAATTCCATGTTTCAAATGTTATCCTGTAAGCATTCAGTCATCCCCTTTTTAGGTTCAGTGACATCCAGATTGTGTGGAAGGCATACAGATGAAACTTGTGAACATCTCCTTAGTTCGGGAACAGAGAACACACCAATAACACTATGATATTCTCAATTATTCCTGTTTTTTCACTTGAGCACCAATAATTAGGTCGGCGTACAGCGGAGGAAACTGTTTCCAGCAGGGATCCATTTGCAAATTAGGCACCGGAGTTGGCTCCACGCCACACGATGAAAGGAAGCTGATACTGTTTGGTGTCTGGGAAACTGTCACCATGCTGCCAACGAGGATATGAGATACGGGTTACAGGAGCGGAGGTTTACGTTGGAGTTTAAACAAGGGGGCGGACCCCTCAGTCACAAAACCACAAAATATTACGAACTTAATTCTGCTCTAATCAGCTTTTCTCTCAGCAAGTCTACAGTTTGCTTTAGAGTTCTGACGGGTTTTTCAACTACATGAAACAAATTGGAGATTTTTGTACTGTAGACTTTAGATTTGTGATTCCTATCTGTTGTTAGGGGCCAGTCTTTAGAAAGACACGACAAATTAAACTTTATTTACAAGTTATTGCATTTCCATGCATAAAATTGTTCACGTTGGGATGTTTGAAAGCAACGGAAAACATTTTAGGGCTTTACCATACAAGAAAACTACTGAATATGAAGGTTTCACTGTTTAATTCAATTTTCAAAGATGCTAAGACAACAATGGCTTCTAGCCTCAGGCTGATGAAATAGTTACTATTAAGTCATTACATACTTCGAAGGTCTGTATAGCTTCCCACCAAGAAAGCATTCATTCTGAGAAGCTAGTAGTCTGGAGGGAGAAGTATTGGATGTCAGCCAAACTGTGAATCTGAGAGGTCCTTCTCCTGAGCCTTATGAAACATTTGCTGCTCTTGGGAACCGACGTATCCAGCCATAGCAGGGGACACTTGAGACTTTCTCCGTCAGTGCAAATATTAGCAGCCAACAATGGTCAGCTCAGTGTTCTTAAATGACTCAGAGGAGATTTAGGGAAACACACTGAGGAAGCTTCTGTAAACATTGCAACAAATATCTGAGAAACTCAAACACAGGAAGTGGACAGAATGAGATTGTATGACCTTCTGGGACCATCTGGCTAAATTCCAATTAGAAATAAGTTAGCCATATAACTTAATAATCATTAACTCAATCAAGACACATTTTGTCATAGCCAGTCTCAAACAAAATTCTTCAGTAATTTTAGTCTTATTTGGTTTGAATAAGCTATTAAGTATGCCTTACTTGTTATTTCA